AGGCTGGTATTTGCCACCTTCAAGGTATAACTGACCCACAGATCGATATTTGTGAAGAGTCTGCTGCTGTCGCCAGTTTAGCTTTTTACTCCCGTGTCTTCTTCTCTCAGGCTGAACTACTTCAACTTTATCTGTCAAATTCTTCAGGGACCACCTTCATTCATTATTGCTGTTGTTATTCTTTATTATTATTATTATTATTATTATTGGATTACAATTTATTAGCTATTGTCTCATTTTCTCTAGTAAATTATCTTTTTTTTCAATCATTTTTGAGGGGGCTCGTACAACTCTTATTACAATCAAGGCATACATCCATTGTATGTCAAGCACATTTGTACATTTGTTGCCCTCATCATTCTCAAAACATCCACTCTCCACTTAAGCCCCTGGCATCAGCTCATTTTTCCACCTCCCTCCCCGCTCTCCTCTCCCTCATGAACCCTTGATAATTTAGAAATTATTTTGTCATATCTTACACTGACCGACGTCCCCCTTCACCCACTTTTCTGTTGTCCATCCCCCAGGGAGGAGGCTATATGTAGATCCTTGTAATTGGTTCCCCTTTTCCACCCCACCTTCCTGATATTGCCACTCTCAGCACTGGTCCTGAAGGGATCATCTGTCCTGGATTCCCTGTGTTTCCGGTTCCAATCTGTACCACTGTACATCCTCTGGTCTAGCCGGATTTTTAAGGCAGAATTGGGATCATGATAGTGGGGTGAGGCAGGGAAGAAGCATATAAGAACTAGAGGAATGTTGTATGTTTCATCATTGCTACACTGCACCGACTGGCTTGTCTCCTCCCTGCAACCCTTCCAGAAGGGGATGTCCAGTTGCCTACAGATGGGCTCTGGATCCCCAATCTGCATTCCCCCTCCTTCACAATGATATGATTTTTTTGTTTTGTGTCTTTGATGCCTGATACCTGATCCCACCAACACCTCATGATTACACAGGCTGGTGTGCTTCTTCCATGTGGGCTTTGTTGCTTCTCAGCTAGATGGCCACTTGTTTACCTTCAAGCCTTTAAGACCCCAGACACTATATCTTTTGATAGCCGGGCACCATCAGCTTTCTTCACCACATTTGCTTATGTACACATTTGTCTTCAGCGATCATGTCGGGCAAGTGAGCATCATGGAGTGCCAATTTAAGAGAACAAAGTGTTCTTGCATTGAGGGACTACTTGAGTGGAGGTCCAATGTCCATCTGCTACCTTAAGACTAAACCTATAAATATATGCACGTAGATCTATTTCCCCATCATCATATATATTTACATATGTACATGCCTGTATTTTGACCTCTATAAATGCTCTTAGTCTCTTGGTTATTTCCTTTTACTTTCCTCTTGTCCCACTATCATGCTCAGCCTTCATTTGGGCTTCAGTTATTTCTCTCAGTTATGTTGCCCTTGATCAAGCCCTACCAGGCCTCCTACACCCATCTCACCCTCATCTTTGGATCACTTGTTGTTCCCCTACCCCTGGATTGGTCAATAGCACCTCCTTTTCCCCACCTCCCCCGCTCCCATGTCCCCCACATGTCTCATAGTGGGGCCAGCCATATGATCCTCTCTGTGCATTGGCTGTTCTGAGCAGGGATATCATCCTCAAGGCTTGGTGGACCAGGATGCACTCCACTATCTCTTCCTCCCCCTTCATTTGGTCTCGTGTTCTCTGATCAGACATGTCCCTCTCCCCGAGCTGCAGCTTCAGTGCTGTCCTCTAAAGTAAATTCTTCTGGGGGGCTGTTGTTATTCTTATTGTTGTTATTAGCTGCCATAAAGTTGATTTCAACTCACAGCAACCTGTGTACAACAGAATGAAATTCTTCCAGGTCCTGTGCCATTCTCACAATTATTATTATATTTGAGTCAATTTTCAAAACCAGAGTCAATCCATTTGTCAGGGGCCTTCTTCTTTTTCACTGCCCCTCTACTTTATCATTCTGTTGAGTCACCATGACCCAAGAGAATACTAGTACTATATCACTGATATCCATACAAGTAAATTTTTGCTTAAGATCATACAACAATGATCACAGCAACACATTGACAAGTAACTGAAAGAAGTTAAGGCTAGTTTCAGAAGATGACTTGAAACAAGAGATATCATTGCTGATGTCAGAAGGACCTTGGCTCAAAGGAGAGAATACCAGAAAGATAATTGTGTTTCATTGACCATGCAAAGCATTCAACTGTATGTGTCATAATCAGCTGTACATAACCTTGAGAAGACTGAGAATTCTAGAACACTTCATTGTGCTCATTCAGAACTTGAACATGGATTAAAAGGCAGTTGTGACAAAAACAAAGGAATATTGCATGGTTTAATATCAGGAAAGACGTGCATCAGGGTTATATCCTCTCACCATACTTATTCCATCTCTATGCTGAGAATATCATCAGAGAAGTTGGATTATATGAAGAAGAATGTGGCATCGGGATTGGAGGAAGGCTTATTAACAACCTGCAGTATGAAGATGACATAATCTTGCTTGCTGAAAGTGAGGAGAATTTGAAGCACTTGCTGATGAAGATCAAGAATTGCAGCCTTCAGTATGGATTGCAACTCCATGTAAGGAAGACCAAAATCCTCACAATTGGACCAATGGTCACATCATGATAAATGGAGAAAAGTTTGAAGTTGTCAAGGATTTTGTCTTGCTTGGATCCTTAATCAATGCTCATGGAAGCAGCAGTCAAGAGATCAAAAGAAGTATTGCATTCGGTAAATCTGCTGCACAAGACATCTTTAGAGTATGGAAAAACAAGGTTGTTACTTTAAGCACTATGGTACACCTAACCCAAGCCATGAAATTCTGTTTGCATGACATGCATGTGAAAGTTGGACATTGAATAAGGTAAGCTGTAAAAGAATAGATGTATTTGAATTGTAGTGTTAGAGAATATTGAAAATCCCATGGACTAGTAAAAGGACAAATTGATCTGTATTGGAAGAAGTAAGCCCAGAGTGCTCCTTAGAGGCAAGGATTATAAGACTGTCTTGCATACTTTGGACATATTGTCAGGATAGTCCAGTCCCTGGAGAAGGACATCGTGTTTGGTAGTGTGGGAGGGCTGCCCAAAAGTGGAAGGCCCTCAATGAGATGGATTGACACACGGGCTACAACAATGATGGGCTCAGGCATAGGAACAATTGTGAGGGTGGCGCAGAACCATGCAGTGTTTCGTTCTGTTCTGCATAGGATCGCTCTGGGTTGGAATTGCCTCAATGGCATCTAACAACTACTTTACCAAGCATGGTGTTCTTCTCCAGGGACTGGTCTCTCCTGATAGCATATCCAAAGTACTTTAGGCAAAGCCTCACTATCCTCACTTCTAAGGAACCTTCTGGCTGTACTTCTTCCAAGACAGATTTGTTGGTTCTTTTTACAGTCCATGGTACTTTCAAAAGGCCTCAACAGCACCACAATTCAAATGCATCGATTCTTCTTCAGTCTACCTTATTCAATGTCCAACTTTCACTTGAATATGAGGCAATGGAAAATACCCTGGCTTGGGTTGGGCTCATCTTAATCCTCAAAGTAATATCCTCACTTTTCAAAAGCGAGACAAAATCTTTGACAACTTCAACCTTTTCTCAATTTATCTTGATATTACCTACTGGTCCAGTTCTGAGGGTTTGGGTGTTCCTTATGCTAACTGTATTCAATGCTGGAAGCTACAACCTTTGATCTTCATATGCAAGTGCTTCAAATCCTCCTCACTTTTAGCAAGCAAGGCTTCATCATCTGGATACCTCAGGTTGTTAATAAGCCTTCCTCAAATCCTGAGGCTACATTCTTCCTCATCTAATTGAGCTTCTCTGATGATGTGCTCAACACACTGAGTGAGTAAATATGGTGAGGATACAACCCTGACACACACCTGTCCTAATTGTAAACCAACCATTCCTTTGTTCTGTACAACCTCTTGATCTATGTACATGTTCCCAATAAGCACAATGAAATGTTCTGGAAATCCTGTTCTCAAGTTATCCAACATTTGGAATGATTCACACAGTCAAAAGACCTGACATATTCAATAAAATATAAGTAAACCTCTCTTTGATAATTTCTGCTTTGAGCCAATGTCTATCTGACATCAGCAATGCTATCACTTGTTCCATGACCACTTCTGAATCTGGCCTGAACCCCTGGAAGCTCCCTATCAATGTACTACTGCAACCATTGTTGAAAAATCTTTAGTAAAATTTTACTTGCGGTATTGATGGTATTTTTCTCGAATTTGAGCATTCTGTTGGGTCACCTTTCTTTGAAACAGATACAAATATGGATCTTTTCCAATCAGTTAGCCAACTGTCTTCCAAATTTCCTGTCTTCCAAATGAGTACTTCCAGTGCTTCATCAGCTTGTTGAAATATTTCAATTGGTATTCCATCAAGTCCTAGAAGCTGGTTGTTGGCTAATGTTTTCAATGAAGTTTGAACTTCTTCCTTCAGCACCATTGGTTCTTCCTCATATGCTACCTCCTCAAATGGTAGAAAGTCAACTACTTCCTTTTGGTCCAGTGACACTGTGTATTCTTTGCATCTTCTTTTGATGCTTCTTTCCTCATTCAGTATTTTGCCCATAGAAAAAATGGAAATTTTTTTTCACATTTTTTGAAGATACCATGATGCTTCACTTTTTTGAAGATGTTTATACTGCAGATAAACAAACCTTCCCCATTGGTATCCAGTCAATTCTGACCCATAGTTACATATATATAATATAGAGAGAACCATACTGTTCATTTTTCCAGATTATACTACTAAAATATGTTAAATAATTTTTGTAGCCATTGTAGAATATTGCTTCATTTGTACTAAATTTCAAATATAAAATCTGAAATATTACCCAAAAAAAGAGTGATTTTTTTTTAGCATCTGTTGCATTTATTCAGCATAACCAGAGACAGCGTCTTCATGTTGCCAGATACAAACACAGAAGTACAGCACAATACCCATGTTTTGCCCAAGTGCACTCCTTCTGAGGATCATTTATATGTTTTCATATGCCACAGCCCATCATTTAAATAATGGATATTCTCTATGCCAATTCCTTTGTTGACTTTCTCAATGTCCTCTGCGTTCATCTTCATGACTCCCACACACAGAGCGTGCTGTTTGCCTTCTGCCATTACTGCAACAATGGTATCCACTGCAGCAGGGTAGAGCTTGGCTCCAGGAGACGTTAAGCCTGGACACATGATACTTGCTCCGCTGAGGACAAATTTGATGGCTCCTTTATCAACTTGCTGATGTGGCAATATAAAGGGATATTTGTGAAGTAACCTTAGGGTTGGATAAAAAGGTCCTTCTCGCTGCCTGAAAAAGAGTAACTCTCCATTCACTGTAAGGATTTCTATATGTTCGTGGCATCTTATTATTTTCACTGGATCTTTCTTAGGCATGATTTGATTAAGCCATGGTTCAATACCTGAGAATTGCTCTATCAATTGGTTCTTAATATTCTTCATGACTGAAGTTTTCAACTGGATACAGTTGGACACATTCTCTTTTTCATTAAATTTCTTGAACATGATCCAAGGTGAAGGGTGTCACGGTAGAGAAGGGCCCACACAGGAACGAAATGAGTCTGGCGGTTACCCTTACCGGAGGAAGGTCAGCACGACAAGTCGGAGAAGTGACGCCACCCGTAAAGTGAAACAGTCTGTCGCACTTTACGGCAGTGCCGCGAAATCTGACCGCTTCCGCCTCTTTGAACTCCGCGTTGGCGCTTTTGCCTTCTGTTTGGGGGTGTGATAACCGTCCTGAGGACGTAACTGAAAGGGCGGGACTCGAGAATGGGGGTACGATGGGGCAATTCCTCCCAGTAGCAGGAAGGTAAGCAGGAATGATGTTCCTGACGTCATCCCAGAGCTCATCAGGTCTTCTGTCGTTGGTGTCCAAAGCAGCAAATCTGTTCTTGAGATGTTCTCTAAACCAGGTGAGATAGAATCACGGTTGAATTTTGATTCTTAAAGACTTGTTTTAATTTTCCTCACCTTCAATCTGAACTTACATATGAGCAATTGGTGGTCGGTTCCACAGTCAGCCCCTGGCTTCAATTTAACTGCTGATACGGAGCTTCTCCATACTCCTTTCCCACAGATGTAGCCAATTTGATTTCTTTGTGTTCCATCTGTAGAAGTCCAAGTGTAGAATCACCTTTTGTGTTGTTGAGAAAAAGTATTTGCTATAAATAAGTCATTGATCTTGTAGAGTTCTACCATTATCACATGATCTCCAGTTTTGTTTCTATCACCAAGACCCTATTTTCCAACTACTGGTCTTTCCTCTTTGTTACCACCATTTGAAATCCAATCACTAATAATGATCAAAGTATCTTGTTTGCATGTGTGTTCAATTTCATTCTGAAGACGTTGGGAGAATTCTTAATTTTCTCATCACTAGTTTTAGTGGTTGTTGCATAAATTTGAATAATGTATTGATTAGCAATTAGTTTGTTGCACTACTTGTTCCTCCCTGGGTTAGTCTCTATCGAATATCCTTTACCAACCTTGCCTGTAGCCTTCACCTTTGAACTTTCCTAAGAGAAGTCATTTAACATTGTTGTCAACTCATGTTCCCATTCAACTGGAGAATAAGAGTTTAAAACTGGTGAAGATTGCTTCAAATCCAATATATCAGCATCATCTAGCAACTTGATTGAAATGTCCATTCATGTTGTGTCCTTTGGATTATGATGTCAGCAGAAAATATTGAAAGTTCTGTGGACCTTCAGAGGAACAAACTCATCTGTTTTGGAGAAAGAAGAGCCAGAGTGCTCCTTTGAGGGGGGCGGGGGGATGGAGAAATTTTGTCTCACCTACTTTGAGCATATTATTTCACCAGCCAGTCCCCTTAATGGGGGAGCTGACACCAGGGGTTCCGACACTGGGTGACACCAACTTTAGTGATGCGACTGATAAGAATTAAAACCTTGTTCTGCTTTTTTTCCCCATAAGACTTTCTATTATGTCCCTGGTCAGAAGAGTTGGCAGTCGTCACTGGGCATCATCATCTTTCTTTGCTCTGTGGGCTAGACATTGGGCTCCTCACCACAAGGTTGACAGTTCAAATCCAACAGCTGCTCCTCAGTAGAAGGATGGGGCTGTCTATTCCTATAAAGATTTACAGTCTCAGAACCCTGTATGTAATAACGATGTGTTACAATAGTTTATTGATCCACTATTTAGGGAAGTGTCTATTCATGTACCTTTCCCCAGTTTTAAATTGGGTGGTTTATCTTTCTGTTGTTGAGTTGTTAAAAGTTTTCTGTATGTTTTAGAGATTAGACTCCAGATTCCACCCTCCCAATCTGTATGTAGGTTCTCTTTTAACTCTTTTGATAAAGTCTTTTGATGAGTGGTTTTTAGTACGTTTCAGTTTTCTAATTTGTCTTCTGTTGCTCGTGTAGTAATATTTTGATGTATGTCTTTCTAGCAACTTTCAAAACATGTGAAATAGAAATTTATTAATTTAAAATATGGCTGAAATCTGTGACATATATAGTTTTTTTATGTCCTGTTTTTCATTTACCATTATGCTTAACCATAAAAAAACCATGGCATTAAAAATTCTTTATAATACAATGTTATTATATTTACAAAGAGCCCCGGTGGTACAATGTTTCAGTACTCAACTATCAATTAAACAGTTGACAAGTCAACCCCAGAGAGAGGCTTGGCAGAAGAAAGGCATGGTGACCTTCTCCCACAGAGATGACAGTCTGGAAAACCATGTGGAGGAATTCTCTGTCATGTGGAGTTTCAACTTAATGGCACTTAACACTATTATTTTCATAGAATTCTATCATACAGAAATAGAAAAAAACCATAAATCATCATTCCTGTAATGTCTGTTTTGCTGGTTCTAGTCTTTTAAGATATTAATCAGTGCTCATACTTTTGATAATTTCTGCAATTTCTATTCCAAGCAGTGAAATTTTAAGGACCATTTGACTCAGTGTTTTGTCCACAATTCTCACCCTTATATGAATAACCAAGTAAATGGGGGAAATGTAGGAGAGAAAGGTCATTTCAACCCTGACATAGAGGCTACATATAAAGATCAGTTGACATAGTAGGAATGCTCCAAGGATAAAGAGCTCTGGTAACTGTGGGATAATTGTTGGGGTACTAAATACAAGGTCAGCAGTTCAAACCCACTAGTCACTCCACGGGAGAGAGAGAAGGCTGTCTGGTATCCTAAGGATTTACAGTCCTAGAAACCCTTTACAGGATAACTATGAGTCAGAATGAACTGAATGGCAATGGGTTTGGGTGAATTAAGCATGAGTAGGTTTGAGTCCTAACCGATTTCACATAGTCCAGTGTGATCTCACATAGTCAAGCATGAAGTCGTGATTATATTATATTTACTAAAATAAAGATAATGTTATATTTTCTAGCGCTACAGTTCTCTGAATTTTTGTTTGGAAGTTTAAGGCAGTTCATGACTTTAGGCTATCGTTTAAAGATATGACTGGCTGGATTCCTGTTGTAGCATTCCACCAGAACCAGGCTTCATCTGAAAATGTGGAAAGCAGAGATTTGTGTGACTTTTGTCTCATTTCCAAAGAGCCCTGGTGGAATAGTGGTTATGCCTTGGGGTGCAAAACACAAAGTCAGTAGGTCAAAACCACCAGCCCCTCCTCAGGAGAAAGATGAGGCTTTTTACTCTTGCAGAGCCCCGGAAATTCACAGGAGCAGTTCTACCGTGGCAGCATCAACTCAATGGCAGTGAGTAAGAGTCTTAATTCCATTTGATCTAACTCATGCAACTTAGGAAAATCTTAAGAAAGCATCAAGTTAACTTGGGAGACTTGTTTAGTGTGCATATCATACTCTAGCAAAGTTTTCCAGTGATAGTGAGCTCATAAGGAAAATTTCTAGAGATAATTATCTGACAGCTTCTGTTCACGAATAACTCAAACTTCTATTTGTTTACACAAGGACATATGTCACAGTGTCAGCTCTCCACTAAGGACCTGTCATCAATCACTTGTGCATCCTCTGACAATAGACAATGACAAATCTGCATGAAGAACTTACAGTTTTTAAGTTTTTTGAAGGACAAGGTAGAATAATGTAGTATTGATTTGCTGTTACACTTTGGCCTAAGGTAAAGGTTTAGCAAATGACAATTGTTAGCCTGCCGATATAACTGAGAAGCTGCCATTGGCCTCCCATGTAAGATCAAAAGCAATACACACTGAGCCATCATAGCAACACTATAGGACAGGGTAAACTGGTGTCAGCTCCCCCATTAATGGGACTGGCTGGTGAAATCCCCTAGTGAGCAGAGCAACCCAATCTTGCCCCATTGGGACGAAGGGTTTCACCTTTGCCAGCTTTGCCCTCCACAGTTCCCCACTGCCCACCCACCCTCGCCAACTGGCAGGGCAGAGACTTTCCTTTCTCTCCAACAGTGGGTGTCACGGCTCATCGACCCACACACTGACAGACAGATTTGGGGAGAGGGGTGGTGACAAGTTATCACACTGAGTGACAGCAGCCCCACCCCCTGCACTATCAGTCTACTCACCACTGCCTCCACTGTGAACCCTGGGTTCATTATGATGTCACCCCCTTCTGACAATGTGGGGAAATATGGACTGTACCCCCTAGTAATGCCATTTATTCTTTTTTTTTTTTAAATGCTTAACTTACTGGTCCAATAAAGATTAGTAGAGGAACATGAGTGACTATTGTCCTGAAAAAACTCTTTAATTTTTAACTGAAAGTACTTCCAGAAGTGGCCTTTCAATTAAATAGTAGATTGGCTCACAAAATAAACTATATCACTGTCACTCATGAGTGACAGTGATACTGTTTATTTTATTAAGAAAAAAATCTATATGCGATCAAATAGTCAACATTTACCCTAAAGCACAGATGGAAAAGGGAAGTGGGGAGGGCAGAAAAGCTTGATTAGTGGCCACAGAGCAGTCAGAGCTAAAATATAGAAAAATGGAGACTATTGACACAAGTGGAAAATGTAACTTACGTCACTGAAAAATCTGCACGCTGCTGTTGTCAGGTGGTATCGAGTCAGTTCTAATGCGAGTGACACCATGCACGATAGAATAAAAGTACCGTCTGGTCCTGTGCCGTCCCCGCGGTGTTGCCATGCTCAAGGCCATGGTTGCCTTCGCTGTCTCCATCTGTGAGTGTCTTCCTTTTTTCACTGACCCTCTGCCAACCCTGACATCCTTCTCAAGAAGATGCCCTCTTGATAACATTTCCCAAGTGCCTGAGATACAGGCTTGCCCTTCTGGAGTCTATGAAACATCTGACTTGGTTTTTTAGAAGGTTTCTTTGAACTTTATGAATAGAAATTATTAAATCAGAGAGAATTTGCTGTGTAAACTTTCACTGAAAACTCAAAAACATATTTAATAGATATAATAATTACATATAATCTTTATCACAGCTATTTAAGATTTTCTCTCTGTGAGACTTTTATTTTCTAATTTGAGGATGTGTTACATTTATATTAAAAATAAAATGATTAGTAGGGAGAAAATGTGAGCAAC